AGCTGCCACTATCTACCAGGATCCTGTGCACATGAAAATTGGCCACCGTCATGGTGAGCACCAAGGGGTCGTCATGGGGGTGTTGGATTTCCTCCAGGTCCTTGTTTGAAAAAGATATGACCTCGTCGCCTTCCTGCTTCGGCACCTTAGATGGGCGCATCTCGTAGACATGTCTTGCCTTCCTGGCATGGGCCTTCATCGCGGAAAGTGATTCTCCCCCACCTGCTAGTCCCCCTGAGATAGTGTGGATTTCCCCCACAGGCTGCTGATCTTCCTGGTTGTGAGGTTGTGGTACTCGTTCCCTTCCAGCAACGTACTGACGTAAGTGACCACGCTGGATGAGCTCCTCAATTTGCCTCTTGAGGTCGTAGCAATCGTCGGTGTCATGCCCGTGGTCACGATGGAAGCGGCAATACTTGTTAGGATTTCTGCGATTTGGAGGAGACTTCATTTTTCCAGGCCACTTTATCGCGGGGTCATCCTGGATCTGGAATAGGATGTGTTCCACGGAAGCATTGAGGGGAGTGAAGGGTTGACGGTTCCTCTGAGGAGCAGGACCTAGCCGGTCCTTGACAGGGACTTTCTCTGTCCTGCCATATTTGTTGCTGGTTTCCTTCTTATCGTCCTTCTCTCTTTCCTTCCTTTTCTCACCTGCTCTGGAAGACTCACCCCGCCTGGCCCTTGTGATGTCTTCTGCGTTTATGTACTTTTGGGCCTTGGCTAGCAGCTCTGGCATGCTCTTCGGTGGGCGCTTCAGAACTGAGAAAAGGAAACTTGATGAACGGAGGCCACCCAAGAAGGCGGTCATCGTCACCTTGTCGTCGGGTTCATCAACTTGGAGTACCTCCTCGTTAAAACGAGTGAGGTAACTCCTCAGGCTCTCCTCGCGGTCCTGCTTTATACTAAGCAGGTGCGTAACTGGCTTCTGGTGGCGACGCCCTCCTATGAAGTGTGAGACGAATGATCTGCTAAGCTCGGCAAAAGAGGTAATAGAGGCGGGGGAGAGCTTAGCAAACCACTGTCGGGCAGACCCCTTTAATGTGGTTGGGAATGCCCTGCACATGATTTCGTCTGGTACGTTGTGCAATTGCATCAAGGTCTTGTAAGTGTCGAGGTGGTCCAGTGGATCCTTTGTTCCATCAAAGGTCTCCACAGATGGCATTTTGAACTTCTGAGGGAGGGGGTAGTTTGCTACATCAGGTTTGAAAGGGGTATCAGTACGCCTTACCAGGTGGTCAACAGTCTCGGGTCCCTGTGCCTTCATGGCGTTGAAGACATCACCGAGTTGATTCTGTACCTCCTTTATCTTCTCGTCCCAATGATTGGGGGCTCCTCTGGAATGATCATGGAAGTGGCTTCCATGCCCCATGCTTTGGTTTTCACCCTCATCCTCCTGGAGATAAGGGTCCTCTCCCTGGAAAGCAAGGGGAGGGGGAGGTGCAGCTCCCTCATGTTGGGCTTCCCGAAGTGGGGTGCCCAATGGGGCACCCAGGCGTGGTGCTCCTTGATGTCCAGGATGTGGAGCTCCTTGGGGTGCTCTATGTTGTGCACCTCCGTGGGGCCCTCCATGTTGTGCACCTCCGTGTGGTGCTCCACCTTGGGGTCCTCCATGTTGTGCACCTCCGTGTGGTGCTCCTCCTTGTCCAGCAAGTATGAGTTGCAGTAACTGTTGGTTTTGAGCAACCAGTTGCTGCATGGTCTCCAATATTTGTTGGGGATTCGGGGCTAGAGTATCCGGAACAGGGTTGATAGGCGGGGGAGCAACCTCCTCCTCTCGTGGAGGATTGTCTTCGTGTTGGTTCATGGATCGAGTAGTGATCGCCATTAGTTAATGGATGTAATGTTCAGGAGTGAGAATTTTGTCGATTCCCACAGACGGCGCCAAACTGATGATGCACAAAAATGGTTTTGCACACCACCTGTCAAGTGTAGATAATAAATGCAATGAAATCAATGAAAAAATTAAAGAAGACACAATTTATAGTGGTTCGGTCAATTCGACCTACGTCCACTCTTCAATGGCTTCAGTTGCCGGGTATTTTATTGATTCAAAGGTATGGAGAATAGAGATACAAGCTTTGAGAGAGAGAATGGAGAATCAAAGAAATAGTAATCTCCGGTAGTCGGTTCGTCCTCTGTAAGTCTCTGGTGGGGCGTGACATTCATCTCCCTCTTCTACCAGATTGGAGCTATTTTATAGCAGCTAAGAGATCATTCTTGTGGAGATCATGACATATCCTTAAGGCTTTTTTATCGCAGCTAAAAGATTATTCTTGGTGGAGATCACGACTTATTCTCAAGGCTTCTTTATCGCATCTAAGAGATTATTCTTGGTGGAGATCACGACTTATCCTCAACGGAAGGGGGAGGTTGGGGAGCTCTTCATGAAACGTGGTCAAAGATTTGGACCGTTTCTTTCGGTGGTGCAGATAAGCTTCCCATGCTCTCCTCTTGGTGACGTGCTAAGCAAAAAATCTAACCGGTCTTGGACTGTCTTGGCTTGGTGGAATCAAAATGAGGTTGGGCTCCTCAACTGGGGTTGGACTTTAACACATAAATTGGACTATTTGAGCTTAACCCATCAATTGTCATTATATTATACATGTAACGTAATCATATTGGTATCATAAGTTATATTTGTGTAATAAAAAATATTTTGTGTAAAATACATTGATATTCCCTTAAGGTAAATGTTGTGTGTCAGTTTGGTCTTTAATCTTCGAATTGTATCAATTTAATCCTTCAACTTTTCAATTTATAGTCGAATTGAAAATAATAGTTTGAATAGCGTAACATAGATGTGGTCAATTGAGGGTTCACTTTGGTCCCTCAAATTTGTTTCTTGTATCATTTTAGAATTTTAAATTTACAGTTTGTGTTATTCTAATTCCTAAACTTTTTAAAGAATACATCTTATCATTTGAGATACACTTGACGATCTCCATTAATAAATTCCAACTATCTTTTTTGATTGAATCAAAATAAAACAAATTAAAAAGTTATGTTTGCGCTACTAATTATAACATAAAAGTGAAAGAAATTTTGAATCTTGTGCCACATTTTCACTTTTTTTTTTATATATGTAACGGTCAGAGATGTTCGACTCATTTTATGCGTATCTCGATCAATCTCTTTCCCGATCTAATCAAAGGTAAACATCTATGTCAAGACTAAAGTATTCATAAAGGATAAATCTCTCATAGTCTGACATTAAGGCGTTGTCAAAATTTAAACTCAGGACGTCTGAATTTACAATTTGTCCTTATTACCATTTAACCAATTCTTGGAATTTCATTGCAACTTTTTAACTAAATCGTTTGAACATTCTTTAATCTCAAAATGTGATGAGCGACTATAAAGGTGTCAAATGATTCCATCGATAAGAATTCTTGGGAGTCATCAATTTGTTATTCTTGGTATACCTTTGATTTGTTGAGCGATGAAATTGAAGGGTGAAATTTGAGAATCAAAAAATTTTACAATAAAAATTAAAAAATTGTATCTTAAAAATTGTGATTAATGCTAAATATAATAATAGCATGTATGAATATCATAAGTAACTCTATAATAAAGAAGTCGACAGGTCCTAAGTAACAAAACCTCGTAGCTTCCGTTGTCTGATTCAGCGAACATAAAAGACGGCAGTTTCTACTTCTTCTTCTGACATGATTCTCTCTCTCTCGATCAGCATGCACAACTAACCCTTAGCTTTTTGCCAATTGTCTGGCGTTTGGTGGGTCTTGAATTTACCGTATTACCCTTCACTTATTACAAGCACTAATTGTTTTTCTACTAAGATAATTGTACTAATTAATAATTTGGTTCATTAAATGACCAAAATGACCTTCCAGTCTGGCCTCTTTTGTACATACTCAGCTTCTTTAGACCAAAAAAAAAGGCTTCCTTTAAATTGGGGATAAAGTTGGATATCCTTCATTATTTTTCTTTGGCTCCACTTGTAGAATGTAGATAGAATTATTATGTACTACTAACTAATAGGTATAAACATTTCAAAACTAATTTTCTAAAACTTAGTAGATTAATACTTAAAACTTCTATTATACAATAGTATTGGATTTAAATTTTATTTTCATGGTTTTAAAACAAGATATAGAATAAAATTTTAAAATGATCAATCATAATATTGTTCACATATTAATCAAGAGATGTAAATGGGTCTGAGTTGGAGCAGAGTTAAGATTTCATTTTGAAAGGAACTAAATAATGGCACAATTTGAAATGCCATTCAATAAGGTAATTTACCTGGTTGTATAGGATTTATCTCAAATCAACTTTCATATGATATCCTCATAAGAATTAGGCCTTTCGGCTTTTGAATGGTTATAATTTTTAGTTCATTAAACTTTTTAAAACAATTGATGAAGTACACAATATATTACAAAAGCTTTTGAAAAATTAAGAGGGAAGCATAAGAATTTTTAAAACTTAAAAAGGGGTGTAAATAAGTTCAATTTTTTATTTTTTTTTGGGGGGGGGCATTAGATCAACCGAAAACTAGCCTAATCTGATCCATTTCAACGTCGATCTAATGCTGGAAATGTATGAAATGACTTAATTGAGACAAAACTAATACTTAAGAGAATAAATTGAAATAATTGAAATTAAAGATAAAATTCAGGGATTAACTATGATATTAAGTTTAGTTTTTGACCCTTAGACACTATTATTGGGGAGAGAGACAACGCGATTCAATACCACAACATTAAGGTCCAACAACATAGGTGAACTGTCAACTTTGCTCTCGCATTAAAGTTATTCGGAGCTAAACCATATCGAGGTCATTCTGGTCATTTCACTAATTGTCCCATGGCCTCCAACATAATATAAACCCAATGGCCATCATTCCAGAAGAAGGGTAGTCCGGGAAATAACATGCTTGATTATTATTCAATTCACTCTCTCTGGTCCCCACATTCTCACCATAACCTCCCTTAAAAACCTTCTTTTTCCTCCTCCCTCACACCCACTGACCATCACCCATGGCCACCCTCTACAGCCTCCTCCTCACACCATCCCTGATATGTACCATTCTTCTCCTTCTCTCTCTCCTCTCTCTCACCTCCTCCCACACCATTCATGACCTACTCAAAAGCAGAGGCTTACCTGCAGGACTCTTCCCAAAGAATGTAAAATCATATGATCTTGATAAGAATGGTCACCTCCAAGTGTATTTGGATCAGCCATGCGTGGCAAAGTTTGAGACCAGGGTGTTTTTTGATAATGTTGTGAGAGCTAATCTCAGCTATGGTGGGCTCATTGGTGTGGAGGGTCTGTCTCAGGAAGAGCTGTTTCTTTGGTTACCAGTTAAGGATATCATAGTCTATGATCCGTCTTCTGGGCTCATTATGTTTGACATTGGTCTTGCTTACAAACAGCTTTCTCTCTCTCTCTTTGAAGACCCTCCTGTTTGTAATCCTCAGGGTATACCCCTCTGTCTCTCTCCCTCTCTCTCTCTCTCTCTCTCTCTGAGTCACTGCATGTGGGTCTTTATAGTTGTGGCCTTGTGGGTCATTTTTCAGTTCCTGTGTTTTGATTTCGTTCAAATTCATTTTCAGTTTGTCCCTTTGAATCCTTTTTCTGGGTTATATTCGGTTCAGTATTTTCATGTTTTGCTTTTTGTGATTGTGCAAATGAGAGCTCCGTTTGGTTGCTGAGAAACGCAAGGAAATTGGCTGGATTTTCCATTCTTATGGTCTATTGGGGGCCTGAGTCGCTGATCATCAAAACCCTTTATTCAGATGCTAGAATTAATTGATGTGTTTTGTGATGTTTTTCTACTAGTAGTACTATAAGACATAAATTTTCTGCTTCATTTCTTGCATTTTCTCAGCGGTCAAACATATTGAATTTTGGGTTTTAACAAGAGACAATTGAATTTGATGTGCCATGCAGGTTTTTCGTTGGAGGAGAATGGAAGGAAGGAGTTGGGTATTCAAGTTCAGAGATAAAAGATAACTCCTCTCTCTGTATCCTAACATGATTTTACTTTGTTTTGGTCTTCTTTTGTTTTTGTTTTTGTTTTTTGTTTTTTTGGTTTTTCTTTGAAAGTTGAAAACAACAGGTGGGATGAGATTCCTATTTAGATCCTTGTAGGGTTGTAAAAAAAGAGGAAACTGATCAGTTGAGATTTTGCAATGAAATATAAAAATATAAAAGTGTTTGAAATCTTAAATTCTTGTCATTTGTACTAAAGATTGAGGAAATTGTGGGATCACTCTTCACCTCTTATCACCTATTTTCTAAGAAAACCTTACAAAAATACTGGTAAAGTGAATCCACATTGGCTGTGATGATTATCTTTCATCCTCACTACTTGGTTTATAGTCGAATATGGAGAATATGAACTCCTCGCATTCTTCTTTTTGATACGTTGTTATGAGCAGAGTGAACTAGGATTTTCATAGGTGAAGGGAATCAGCATGGGCTTCTGCACGGGATGATTTACGACAACACGCTGTAGTTAAAACAGTGGGCCTGTAACACAGGGAAATGGGATGGAGTGGTGCCGTAGGTGTCTCTAGGAAAAAGGGTTGTAAGGGCCTAGATGTGTCTAGGGTATTTCCTTCAATGCTTAAGTCAACGAGGACACTGAGAGAGAGAAAAACACGAGGAGAGAGACAGACACTCCATGAATTGGATTTACATTGATCAGCAAAGACCTTACGTAGAAAACAGGATAGCTGAGGTTATATCTGACTAAGTTAAGACTCATTGGCATGCCCAAGGCAGGGACAGGTTTGGGTCCTTGGCGTTTGACAATACATGTGGGATCTCTGTGTGGATACTGGTGGATTTTGCAGTCTCCAATGACATTGTAGGTTTAGGGTATCGGTCGATATCGATACAATTCACTCGAATCATATCTGAATTTCGCATTTTCAGTTCCAGTACCATTCAATTCCCCGAGTAAATCACAAATTCTAATGCGATTCGGCCGAGTCATCAGAAATCTTCAAGTCAACCACGAGTCATCATTATCTAACTAATATGATATCGTCGAGTCATGCCGCAATATGACTTAAATGTTTCATCATATTCAATTTTTTCTTCTATCAAAATATTTTGTGAGTATCTCCAAACTTTATTTCACGATATTACGATTGATCCATCTCAGTACCTTTCAAGTTAATAGTCAATAATGCGTCTCAGTACCCTCCAACTTAATAGTCAATATCGTAACTTTGATTAATGATATTAGCTTTATGAACAGCACTACGGGCCCGAAGGTTGGTTATTTTCAAGCTTTTAGCAGACCAAGGGGTGGTCCAAAGGTTTGGTTAGAGCATAATGATACTTTGAACAGCACAGTATGCTGGAAAAATTTTGCCCCTGCCTGCAAGGCAGTTCCACTTTTAATTCTTTCTCCTAGAATACACCTGTTTTCTTTTCATTTACTTCTAAGCGATTTCTTCATTTAATCAGTCTTTTAACATCTGATTAATGCTGTTAAACGATTGAGTAGCTCAGATTCAGTTCGGACTCCACTAGATTTTGACTTATTCAAATTTCAAAATGAATCTAAGCTCGACAGTTTAGCTCGCCTCAAGTTCGAGTTCAGCCCATTGCAAACCAGGCTGAAAGTCACACACTGAGCTGAATATAACAAAGCTTGATATGTTTGGTTCGATTAACATCCTTACATCTAATTATTGCTTGAATGACTTTCAAGCATTCGGTATCTGTTAGGGGATTGAAGAACCAAGTGATCCAATGCCCAATATAAATTGTTTGCACTCATACCCATCTAACAGCTTAAGCATGAGCCCCTTCATTGTATATTAGGACACTTTAACTTAGTTTTCTATCTAATGTGAGATTCTCACACATGCAATACCTAACAATTCCCCCCTCATATGTGAAGCACATCGGACTTAGCTTTCCTTTGAATCTTATCTACCACTCTTCACAAGCACTCCGTCAAACCACTTTTTATAAGAACCCGCTCTTTCAAGAATCAAGTTTCACCTCTCTTTATGAGTTACTACATGACCACTTTGCCAAGAGCCCTTACTCTTTATGAGTTGCATCCATTACTTCAATACTAATAGCCCATCATATTTTTTAAGAATCATCATTGATACCGAAACGTTATACCACTTTATCGAGAGTTTACCTAGAATCAATACTAATAAACCCTCACTTTGTTTAAGAGTCATCATTAGTACCAGCATGTTATACCATTTTTTCAAGAGTTCACCCAGAATTATCGGTCATCAACTTTAATACCTTTTGTTGAGAGAATAAAGAACGCATTAATCTAAAGTCCAATATTCATATCTGGAACACATGGCGAGCCCCTCCATTATATATTAGAACACTCTAAATTAATTTTTTATCCGATGTGAAATTCTCACACATGCAAGTATCATATATTGAAATTATGCAAATTCCATAACCAGCTATACCAGATTGTCAATGCTTCATCCAAAGCCTTCCCAATGAACAGGAAATGAGATGAATGTTAGTGTGGGTTCTGTTGGGGAAAATAGCATGATTTTAAATATATTAATTAATAATTAATTATAAAAATATAGTAAAATAACAAGAAGATACAATCAAAAATGATACAACCGCGTGTGATTAAAACAATACAAAATAGACAATAATAAATTATAAAGAATTGGCCTGTGATATTAGAAGGTGTGTGATCACTATTTTAAAGTAGTTATATCTCTCCACCTTCTTTACGTGAAGGTACAGACATATGCAGCTTCAAGATCCAATCTAGATTCACAGTAGCACCTCCTTATGAGTCACGTTCACTAGAAGGTTGGGATAAACCTGACTCAAATCGAAATTACCCAAAAACATAATAGGAAATACATCTACAATATATATGGAAAAAGAATACATACTACAAAAATATACTTCCATTAGATCATATGAGCTTCTTTTATATATGCTTGAGAATGTTAACCGATAGAGGCTTTTAAAGCCCACCATCTAGTAACCCCCACCACTTGGCCAATTAAAACAAAGTGTAATTACTCATTTAAATCATATAAAAATCCAATTAAACCCTAAATTAAAAGTGATCCATTAAAAAATATAAAATAAATTAAATGAGAAATTTTAAAGCTTTTATTTTTCCAACAGGTTCATGGTGAGACATTGCTGAACAAGGTAGTAACTATCAATTTACGACTTTGCAGAAGCATAACATGTAAAGGAGATCTAATCAACAGAAACATCCATATTCTTTTTAGATGCAAAATATGTATCACAATGTATATGTATATCATGAAAGGGGAGTTTCACCCTGAATGCTGAAGATCTGAAAAAACTCTAGAAAATAATGAAAAGAAAAGCTCCCCAGAAACAGATAAAAGTGACTCATATTGCCAACAATCTAACCATGATGTTAGATATCTAAAGTCTCAGCATTGACATGTTGGTTTCTTCTTGTAACGCGAATGTAGCAGACAATGGAAGCCACCACAGCAGTTGCAAATCCTCCGAGGATGACATCTCCACCAGCCATGGACTTATCGGATGAATGATGCCTCGTGACCAGTCTTGTATAGGAAGTTTCGTTTATTCCTGTGCTCACCCCGCCTTCAGATGGAGCTGGACTTGGAACTGGTACCTCGACTAATGTAAACATTTTCTGGTCAGCACCAAGGGCAGCCATTTGTGGCTCGGGATCTAGACCTCTGGAGCCATTAGTCTTTCCCATAAAAATGGATAGCTCAGCTACTACAAGGCAAAAAAGAATAAACCTTGCCATGTGAAAATCTTGGCTGCTGTAGGGAATCTGAGGTAGTTCACAGAGTGCTAGTGTGGGGTTAAATTTATATGGACAATGAAGTGTGCAAGGGGTTTTTGATAACTTAAAAAAAGAGGTTGGTAGGTGATCAATGCTTTGAACTTTGAAAATTTGCCAAAGATTTCAAACTTCCAAGTGGAAAGTGTTGGAATTTTGGATTCTTGTAGTAATAATTCAACAAGGGGAGGTGGTGTCTGGGAAGGTTTGTTTTGGGGAAGAGATGGAACCTTACACACAATCTCCGAGTCCTTTTCCAGGAAAATGACCATGGTCGTCTTGTATCTGTTGCTTTTCTATTAAACAATGGATTGTCAGTTACGTTCTTGGAGGACCACATTTGAGAATAAATTTTGCACAATGTATTCTCGATCTCACGACACCAAGTCACAATGGAGCAACCTCACTACTGCACTAAGACTAGTGATAAAGTTGGGCACACCAAAGATAATCATTAGTGAAGAAAAAGGGAAATTTCTGTTAAGCAAAGAGGGTTAAAGAAGCAGATGCACTAGAAAGAAATAAGAATTTCTCTGGTATTTAGGTTGAATGTCAAAACAAACCACTGCTAATGTGCGTGGTCAGGTATATAAATTGACCAAATTTTCCGATAACTTGCATCTTATACTGATTGTGTTGAATGCCTCTTGTATCGATGAGATCTTGAAGCACCGGGTTCCCATGGCCTCAATCATTTGTGTCCAATGAACTGGTATGGTTCCACTGTCAAATATAATGAATATGGGAAAACAAATTAACCAAGTTACCTGTCCATGTCTTATTGAGAACAGGCTGTAGTGCCTACAATCCCTGCACATACTGTATATAACAAAATGTGTGTAAATGCAGTGAGTACAATCATTCAAGGGGGTCCAGCATACTCGTGTCTGCTAATACAAGAAACAGGGAAATTCAGCTGGAAACAGAGTTGTAAGCCCCAACACTACAGAACTTCATATCCCTAAAAAGAAGTACGGATATGCAGTAAAATCGATCATTAGAACATATCTACTTTCTCATACTATACATCAATGCACCTAGTGCATTAATTCATTCAGCTGAACAACTATGAGATGCCCTGTCCTTATGATTTACAACTAATTAGGAGGAGGTACTTTGCTATGAAGAAAGTCGGAAACATCTCAGAAGTTTGTACTCAATCCTCCTCCTGCCATTGAAGCCATTCAACTAAACAACCACTAGATGAACCATCCAATAAGATGGATGAATAGAAAGGATGAGTTTGTCATTTATTTTTATTTCATGAAGAAAGCATGAAAACATCTCAAAAGTTTGCAAATACCATGCCCTCTAAAAGTTTGAAAATTGTCCAGATGCCACATGGACAATAAGAAAACACTAAGGAAAGGCAAACAATATGGTACCAAGGATTCAATATTGGCACCAGCAAATTATAAAATGAGCAAATGCTGCACGCACAATTCAAACTAATAGTTCAAAAGTTGTGTGGCCTCACGCAGAGAACATAAAATCTCAAAAGTTAAGTTAAACAATGAACTGCAACAATTTAAATTTATACTAACCCAGTACTAAAACAGATGAACTGCTACAATCCATATGCTTAAAAATTGCAACCTGGAATCAGTTCTAGTTCCTACTGAGAAATATATTTATTCAGGAAAAATGACAATAGTATAACAAAAGAGCATAGACTCAGTATAATCAATTGTCAAAAGAAGCATTCATTTGGATTAACGCATAAATGGTCCATAAGGACTACAACAGAATAGCAATAAAAAAACGAGAGGTTGGTTAGAGAGCTTGTCTAATGGCATTTGAGGGATCTAAAGTAATAAAAAAAGAAACAAATCGCTCCAACTCGACCTCATAAAATTCCTTGCTTCTTTAGCATTCATTCATTCAACATCGGCAGCAATGACATCTGCAAACTAGCACAAAAACCTCCAACCTACAACATCTCAGCAAAAGAAAGAAAATACATGTGGTTGCACTACTTGCCTGAAGGCATTTCTAGTTTATAATGAGAGTAACTATTTGACTTCCCAAGCTGCACAAGCTCCATAGCTTCTTCAATCTTTGACTCCTTAACCAACATATCTACCACGCTTTGCAACAATGACACATCAACAAGACACTTCACAATGAATATCTCCTTGCACAACTCAAAAGCCCAATTAAAATCACCCTTCTCACAAACAAATGGAACAAGCGTCACAAAAGTTCCCCTATTTGGGGCCCTTCCACTTTTAACCAGCTCTCCATACCACCTCTTAGCTTCCTCCAAATCCCCCTCATGACAATACCCTTTAATCAATGCATTATAACTAAAAACATCAGCTTTTAGTCCCTCAGTCCCCAATTTTTTAAATAACTCAACTGCTTCCAGCATTTTCTTCGCGGAAACCAATCCAACTAACTTTGCATTATAACTCAGAATATCCGGAACAACATTCTTTTCCATCATTCGACCCCACAATGTTTCACCATCGGAAAACCTATTATTCCCATAGAACGCGTCAAGTAAGGTATTAAACGTAATCAAATCCGGGTTCAGCCCATTTTTCTCCATCTCATCAACCGTCGTCAATGCGGAATCCAACGAACCCATCTCACAAAATGCCTTGATCAGCGTATTATACGAAACTGCGTCGGGCTTAACCTTCAACTTCCCCGGCAATTCCTTAAACAAACCATCAACCTTTTCGAATTTCCTCGCGTTTACACAGGCCCCCAAAAGTGCATTTAGCGATTTCACAGTTCGATCACATTGCAATTCAGGCATTTCGTCGAACACTTTACACGCATTATCAAACATGCCCGACTTTCCATACAACGAAATGAGTCTGACCGCGAAGCCTTCTTTGGAGATGTCCTTTTTGTAATTCTTTTGGTGTTCGAGGATTTCTTCGATCCATCTGAAGCGTTTGGCGTTGGCGAGACGGCGAACTGTGGACTCATAAATGCCGGTTTTGGTTCGAAAACGGTCGGATTCGGAGTGGGCTTTAAATTTCTGGACGAGGCGTTTGAGGTTGCGTTCTTTGTAGAGGTCATTGGAAGGGGAGATGAGGTTTGGAGTGGTGGTGCCAGTGGAGAAGGTGCGGTGGAAGAGGCGAGAGAGGGAAGACATTGTTGGGGGAGAGGAGAGAGAATGGAGGAGTAGACTAGTGAGGTGGGTTGGTCTGTGGAGTGAAGTGAGAGAATGGTGAATAGACGACATGGGTCAATTTATCACTCTAATTAATTAAAAACTAAAATCAATTTAGCTATATTGTTAAATGTCAAAAACTAATTTGATTCTAATTTTTTTTTTTTTTTTTTTAAAAACTTCTTAATTTTTTCAATTTGAGTGAATAAATGAAGTAGAATCTATAAATTTCAGTATTCATTTTTTAGTTTTATCGAACATCACCATAATTTATATATTAATTTAGAACATTTTCAACCCACTCTCTATTTCTTCTTTTAGTTATTTTATCTAGCCAAACATAAAAAAACATTCTCTATCCCATTCTCTATTTTTCATTTCACTCAAATGACTTTCCAAATGTGGAGAGTCATTTAGCCTCTTTAAATTTTCTTTCTCTCTCTCTCTCTCTCTCTCTCTATATATATATATGTTGTATTTCTTTTAAATTATTAGAAATTAGGAAAATAATTAGTTAAAATAGAGAGTGTGGTTAGAATGAATTTATAAAAACGACTAACTAAAATAGAGAAGGTAATATTTAAATATATTTTAACTATCTGTTTGAAGAGCAGGGTTGGAAATGCTCTTTATGGTATTAGAAATGATATTGGTCCACTACTAAGAATAACTTCAACCCAATTTTTTAAAATGTCTAGTCAAAATATATTTAAATATTATATTCTCTACTTTAACTATTTTTTTTATAAATTCACTTCAATTATATTCTCTATTTTAACTAATTTTTAATAATATAATTTAAAATATCACGGAGCTCATTCGAGAGCAAACCCAGATGCATAGGACACGAGGAAAGCAGAGCTCCTTTGAGAAGCTGCTGCCTCAGTAAATATTCAAGAAATCAAGCAAATTGGGTATTACTAATTCACCCCCATTTTTTTCCTGATTCCCCCCCAATTTCATCAACGCACATATGTACAAGTATAGACAAAGAGGAGCAACTCCAACCCAAGAGTTTGGTTAAATCAGATTAGGTTTTGCAAATTTGGGCACTAGGGTTTCTATCGGCTCTATGGTTTTGTCGACTCAAGCAAAGAGGGAGAGAGCTCTATACCTAGAGTGAAGAAAATGAAGCCTCTGTGTGATGAAGACGATGAAACACGATCAAAGAAGACAAAGACCACTAGCGAAAAAGAGCAAATACTAAGTGACAGTTGTCTCGTTAAAAATAACAAGTAAAAAATGAATTTGGTAAAATGGATAATAGGATAAAGAGCAGGTTGGAGAGAATCTTTAGGAGTTAAACTCTCCAAAATAACTAAAATTAGTCTTTTAGTTAGCCAGTTGGAGTTGTTCTAAGAACTTGATACATTGTATTCATTGTTTTCCAATTAGTGACATGGCAAATATGTGCTTACTAAAAAAGTTTCATCACTTGATAGATTGTATTGCCATTTTTATTTTTCTTACATATTTTCACTATTAGTTTTTGTTTCTTCATCTGCTTAGCAAAATAGTTAAATTACTAGATTTTTTTTTTGTCTATATCATCATCCTTCAAATTTCAAAAAAAGTTGGCTTTTTAAATTTGAAAAAGTTTAATTTTAATTTTTTTTTTCACCAGTTAGGAGTGTCATACATTTCGACTAATCCCCTTCCAGTCCAGTTAAAGGCAGGTCATTCATGTCAGGACTAAGATATTCATGAGAGATAAATCTCTCATGACCTAACGTTAAAAAATTATCGAAATTCAAACTCATGACGTATGTTTATAGCTATTACCACTAGAGCTATTTCTTTGAGTTATTTTGATGTTTTATTAGTTCCTTCATATATCACCAAATTACAATTGAAGTTTCATCATTTAGATTTACAAAAATAATTAAATAAAACATAAATGCCAATTTTAATATGTTTTTAAGTAAGTTATGTTTGCTTTCCAAGTTTCATTTAATGTTCTTATTTTATAATTAATTTTTTTCAAACTAAATTTTTTAAATAACCTTTCTAAATAGGATCATCAAATTTTATATCGATGACCATCCAATGATCTCTCATTTTTATTCTCTCCGAGTTAAAACAATTTAGGCAAATTTACTTGAATATTTGCTGTTTATAAATTATAAATGCCATTTTATTTTGATTAATATTTAATTAATTATTATTAGAAAACAAAGACCTATTTACATGTCAGATATGATATCTAAACCCTAACAAAACCCTTTTTTATTTCAATTTCCATCCCACTACCAAACAGCAGATGTCTTCTTCCCTCTACCGCCGTCTCCACGGCCTCTTCCTCAAACCCAAAACCACCGTCTCTAGCAAACCCACCACCATCTCTGCCAAACCCACCACCTCCACCACTGTCTCAAATCCCAAAACTCCTGAATCCACCACCGCCACCACAACCACCTCCTCTAAAGAGAAAAGACTCAAACTCCTTGTCAAGAAATTTAAGAAAGCCTCAAACTCCCCCAGTTTCCGCCTACGCATTTCGCAATACGAAACCACCGTTCAACGCCTCGCCAAAGCAAAGCAATTCTCTCTCATCTCCGATATCCTCGAACACCAAAAACAATACAGTGACATCACTGATGAGAGGTTCATAGTCCGGCTTATCTCTTTGTATGGAAAATCTGGCATGTTCGATCAAGCCCAGAACCTGTTCGACGAAATGCCCCAGCTGAAATGTGACCGCACAGTAATGTCCTTCAATGCCCTTTTAGCAGCTTGCGTCAATTCGAAAAAGTTCGATAAAATCAGCGAGTTTTTCAGGGAATTGCCAGAGAAATTGTCCTTTGAGCCGGACAGAGTTTCGTACAATACGGTTATTAAGGCTTTTTGTGAAATGGGTTCGTTGGATTCTGCAGTTGTGGTGATTGATGAGATGGAGAAGAATGGGATTGAGCCGAACTTTATAAGCTTTAACACGCTTATTGATGCGTTCTATAAGAGTAACCAAATTTCGGATGCTGAGAAAATGTGGGAAAAAATGGAACAAAAGAATGTGGTTCCTAATGTGAGGTGTTACAACCCAAAATTGCGCTGGTTGGTTGGTGATAATCGAATTTTGGAAGCTGTTGAATTGATTGAGGAAATGGAGAAGAAGGGAGTGAAGCCCGATATTTTTAGTTTTAAGGCCTTGATTAAAGGGTTTTGTGATGATGGGAATATGGAGGAAGCTAAAAAGTGGTATGGTAAAATAGTCGAAAATGATTGTGTTCCGGATAGAGTAACATTTATGACGCTTATTCCCTTTGTTTGCAACAAAGGTGATTATCAATTTGGTCTTGAATTGTGCAAGGAGGCTCTTAATCGGCGGTGCCTTGTTGATACAACAATAATGCAGCGTATGGTAGATGAATTGGTCAAGGAATCGATGGTTGAGGAAGCAAAAGAGCTTGTGGAGTTGGGGAAGTCAAATCGTTTCTTTCATTATAATCTGAAATTCCCAAAAGATGAGTAGTGGAACTTTAATTTGGATCTTATTTGTTGTTTTATTGATAACTTTGTTAGCGGATTGAAATGCTAGTCTATGTAACTCAATTTTCACCTTGAGCATAAATTGTACTCTCCATGTACCCATGTACTCAACAGGGGATGAATGCCTTATGACCATTTTGAATGTTGTTGTCTTATGTGGCTGTATGGTGTGACATGTTTTTATTTTGCAGTTGTATATATCATGTATGATTGTGTAGTGTGTGTCGTAGTATCATTTTGAGGTTTTATATTGCATGTTCTCATCAATTCCATGGATTTTCTTTTGGAGTTTTAGTATGATTCTAGCATCAATCGTTTACACTTTTGGCCCGAAAAAAATGGGAGAAAAAAGAAAAGATAATACACCTTTGGTTGAAAACATTTAAACATAAATCTCCATTGGCCTCAATGCCAACCCCTGAACCCAACCCTAACCACATCGATCTAATATACAGCCAAAGCCTTCCAGTGTGCACTCAATGCCAACCCCTGAACGGCTGAACACAGCCCTAACCACATCGATCTAATATACAGCCAAAGCCTTCCAATGTCCACAAATCATTACTGTTGAGTTCCCATGTATTATTACATCTGTGGATTTTTGTGGGACTTTTGAACCAAATGAAAGAGTCTGAAGTAGATCTTGTAAGCTTAATGTGCAACACCAAGAAGAATTTTGCCGAATCCATGATCAGTATTGTCAAATTTCTGCCCTGTTGTTTTGGAAGTCTAGGTATCATAGAAATTACTAATAATTGATATGGCTTAAGAATATTCTGAGCATTCCATGATGCTTCGAGGGTTAATTTTTGTGTCTTAAACTAGAACATGTGGTTTGATGATTATCTGCTCCTTGGTGCTGACCCTGATATGTCATACAACGGTAGTCCCAACGTTTGTTTCAGCATCGACAAAACCTCTCAATTGTGGTATTTAAAACAATTTAAAATGTATGGTTTAGGACTCGGTCTTGCAGTATTGATTTTACAGTAGGTTGCTGTATGCATCCGATTTGCTAACAATCGCAAGCATTTTTTTTTTTCCCACGGGGGGAGGTCGGTTTTGACTCCAAATGGGTCAAAATCGCCTTCTGCAAGTGTAACACCCTTCCCTGCCCCATGAACCCTGAAAACAAATAGTATGTTAGCAAGAGAAGAAATGCATTTCACATACATAATTTTCTGTCTGTAATGAATTACATAATGTTCTGTCTGTAATGAAACTATCAGATAGTATTTATAAAACTTCCACCAGTCTACTGTAGGAAACCCCTCTAAAGTAAACCGTCATAGAGCATCAAATTAACAAGCTCCTCAAGGATGGGAAGTCGATGATCATTGTCATCACTGCATAATTCCTGCACTATTCTTGCATTATTATTGCACAACCATTTACGAAACGATGTCATCCCTGCACATTTAGGGCACCATTGGGGGACTATTATTGTATGATCAGAGTAATGTAAATAGTGTTTTTATTATGCTTGGTTAGACTGTGTGCACATTACATTCTCTTTATTGTTTGATCAGAGTGCACATTACAAGAAACGAAAGCATTGCTAGGTGAAAATCAAATGCATGATAGTGCAGCATTGTAGCCTTTATATAAACTGTCAAACTGAGGCCTTCAGTTCTCCAGAACCCCTTTAGCCTTGAAGTATGCCACTGATTGATCGTAAATTTCTTCAATCCCATACTTGAAACTGAATCCCTCTTTGACAAGCTTTTCTGATGAGATGATCAACTTGGTGTCTGACGGGAAATCCTCGAAACTGCAATTGTTCAAAAGACCATGAAAAAAGATGATAAATCCACTTTGAAGAGGGTTCATCATAGTAACATTATGTTTTGTCAGTTCAAATGCAACATGTATATCTCATATCCAACTGTGTTAGAACTCGCACACCTATGCCATTCCATTTTTCCTTCTAACTTGTTCCTGTTTCTGTACATAAACTATTCCATTCAAGAAAGTGTGAAACTGGTGAAAATACAGGGGCTGTTTGGTTTGCGTCTCCAAAACAGTTTTATGTCCTAAAAAACATTAAAACTCTTGAGTAGTTGTTTGGACAGCAATTTTCAAAAAAAAAATTCAAAAAAAGTGAGAATTGAAAACAAAAATTAGAGAACTTCAAATTAGAAAACAAAGGAAACAATCCTAAAGTTTTTAAAGAGGTCTTCCCTTCAAACCACCTTAGCAGCAAAATATGGCATGGTATAAAAAAGTTTTTTTTTTTTTATTTGCTGGTCTTTCCCTCCAAGACTCTCTCTCTCAGGCGGCCTCTCCACTTCGGTTTTTGTTTTTTGTTGGTCAAATACTCCCAGACTCTCTCTCTCTCAGGCGACCTCTCCACTTCGGCGAAACCTGGCGACGCTCCGACGAGATAGTCTTCTTCGTCTTCGTCGTCTTCTCCGATGACTTCTTCGTCTTTTCAGATTTGGGTTTCAGATCTTGGTTTTCAGATTTGGGTTTTAGATCTTGACTTTCAGATCTGGGTTTTAGATTTTGGTTTGTCTTTTTTGGCAACTGGGTTCAGCTTATTAGATTGACGGATATTGGTTTTTCTTCTCCGGCAAGTGGGTTTTCAGATATGGGTTGAGTTTTCAGATCTAAGATTACTCCGGCTAAGCTTCGACATCGCAGCTATCAATGGCTAATTTTTCTTTTCTTTTCTTTTTTTAATTTTATTTTATCAAGTTTAATATATTAAAATAATTTTATATGAGATACTTCATCCAAATAAGTTTTTGTAAAATTATTTTTAAAATTATCTAATCAAATAATTTTTTTTTTTTTAAATTCTTCAACCAAACAGACAAGATTTTCTTGGGGGATTAGAACCACGAAGTGGTTGTCTTTGTTGTTACTGATGCATAAGCTGGCAATCAACGAGGTGGTCCAAATCACGAATAGACCAATCTGGTGTTTAGAGAAGGGGGCTTACGCAGTGGGGACTTTATATTGAGGAATTTTTTGGCTCAGGAATTTCGCGAGCTTAGGTACACTTGTTGACAGCACAGCAAATGTATCGACCAGAAGCAGATTCTTTCTCGGCCACAAATATGTGAGCTCGGCACACATCCTCTACATGTGAAATGGAGATCGAGCCTGATAGCATCTGCATACCTTTCAATCCATTTATTAGGAACTCTTTCCCTGCAAAATGTCCAGAGACATTAGTAAACACTTTTTGTTCAAGTATACGGACATTTGAAATAAACCCTCTTAAAATCCATCCTTCACATGAAGGGGCGTGTTGAAGTCTATTAACATTCATGTTACATCATATCTAACAGCTTGACTTCTAGATGAGACTCTGGTTTAACATGCTTTAGTCATCAATATTGTGATGTAATGTACAGTGAACGTTCATGGAATCAATCCATGTATTTCAGGCTTTTTGTTTACCTGTAATCAAGGACATGGCAAGACTAACACTGGAGGGGATGTCCGAAGTAAGAGAAGGACCAGCCATGAGACTTGGGATTACAGTGATAAGATCTATGCCGTTTTCTTCAGCAAATTTCCATGCTGCCTTCTCAGCTAGTCTTGGAGGCAGGGTAGCCCTGGAAAGGCAGATGATTGATCATTGGTTAATTTTATAGCCTGCCATGCACTCATCGTGGTTCAAAGTATCAATTGGTGCCGACATGACTCAACAGAATAGTAGCCTGCTAGGTACTTTCTGTTTCGAGAACAATACATGTTCCATGTAGAACAAGAGTCTCACTCTACTCATGCTTGACTTGGAGACATCTCGCGCATCAAAAGGAATACAATTTCAAAATCTAACATATCTAGATAGAACTACAATTTTGTGAGTTACCCAAGTGGGTGGCTTCACTGAAGTCAGGAACTCCACATCAGTCCAGTTACTCTCGTCCACGACTAGGCCGGTCTCCTCTCCTGAGCTGATCGTTACAGCAGCTGCGGATGATGTCAAAATGACACGCTTAACTGTTTCGGCTTTTGCAGATGCTTTCAAAACATTCAGGGCTCCTTGAACTGCTGGTTTTATCATATCATTCTATTAAGAAGAAGGTACAGCCAAGTTGATCAGAAATCTTGCAGTTTGCTATACTTGTTAAATGTTAATAGTGAAGCAATGTTGCAATTCCATACCTCTGGATCCTCAGAAGCAAAGTTTACTGGTGTTGCAACATGGAAGACAAGGTCACAACCTGCTATAGGGGGCATTGAAACTGGCTTCATCTGTTAGATCTGCTTTGAATATTTTTAGGCTTCCCAAACTCTGTAGTGCTACAAGATGAGAAATCTTCTTCTGATTATCTGCACCCGAAAACGGGAAGAAAAAAAACCAACACATTTTCATTCTTTTAAGGGGCGTTTGGTTAGGAAGAAAAGAATGGTAAATGAGAAAATTATACAAAGGGAAGTGAAAGAAAATAAAATAATAAAAAATATATTTTTATGTGTATATATATATATATATATATTTTTTTTTTTTTTTCTTGGGACGGGAAAGGGATTTAAACCCTTGACCTCAAGACAAAGTTTTTACAAGAGAAGAAGTACCATTGGACCAAAAACCTATTGATCTATATATATTATTGTATTTGGGTAATAGTAAAAAATTTATCTTTTTTGTGTTTTTTATCATTATTCCGCTTTGTCTAGTAATCTGAGATTTCAAAACTTTAGGAATTTAAGTGATTTTTGAGAGAAAAATCACAAGAGTTTTACTGATCTACAGCTAGGGCTGTTAATTAAATTGAACTACTCGAGTTTGACTGGAGTTTGGCTCAAATTCGACTCGGTTCATTTTTTAAACGAGCCCAAATTTGAACAAATTTTTAGAATCGTTTAAAAAATAAGCCTACAAACTCAACTCAAACTCGACAAACTCGACTCGTTTATGTGCAAATATTCGGACATCTTCGACCAACAGCCCTATCCACAGCTGCCATTTTCATTAAAGTGGCAGAAACTTGAAAGAATAGTTCAAGCATGAAACCGAAAAATGAAAGAAACAAGAGGAGATCACTAAACCAGGGTCCCGGACAGTGGTGTTCACGGCATAGCCTTCCTCAAGCAATAGCTTGACAAGCAAAGATGCCACGAAACCGGTGCCGCCGATCACACAAGCTGTCTTTGATCCTGTAAGTTGAGCCGCCATGGATACACTTGTATTAAGAATGTAACAAGGGAATGAAGATGATGATGAAGGAAGATATTAACTACTGAAGCATACGGTAAGTGGTTCTTCTTGGTGTATAAATAGATAAAGTTTAGAGGAAGAAGGTCAGCACGTGATGTCACTAGCCACTACACCTGCTACTCATTACACCTACCTAGCTTGAGGAATATGAGGCGTAACTGTGACATTACCGTATCACGGTCACGTAATGCTCTTCTCGAATAAGAACGTAAAAACTCAACAAGAGAATTCTGACGTATTTACTCCACCTACCTATATATCCTTGGTAAGAAAAAATGTTATACTTATTAAAAAATTTTACCAAATTTTTCATACCAAATGAAGTGGCACAATCTCTGTAATTAAATATTAATAAGACTCACTTATCTGATAGTGAACAACTGTGTCAAATCATTTGGTATAGAGATTTGAGAAAAAAAAATTTGCAAAGTATAATATTACTAATATGCCATAAGTCTAATCCCAAAGCACAATTCAAATTAAACATTTAACCATCACCGCTTTATCGATTAGGGTGGAAGCGAAAAAACATATTTTTTAGAAAGATAAAAGGTCTTACTTTATTCCTTCCTAAAATAGGAATAGTGACCTTATTGAAATTTAAGAATGAAAACCTTGCTTAGAGCTTGGTTGATTTTCTTTTCAAAAATAGAAAAGAAAAAAAAGTATACTACCAAATTAATCATGGGCTTGTAATTTTTGTACGCCAACAAATCGGATTTCATCTTATCTGAATTTAAATTAGAAATTTTTGTTCCAAATACGATCGAATTATTTGACAAATTTTATTTTTTTCAATCTATTTAGTAAAAATTAGAGGTGAGTCCCCCTAGATATACTTGTTTAGAGATAAATCCTGTAAGAAAACTTATAAGAGATTAAGTTCATGTTTAAAATTATATGTAATGATTTAAGTCCATTTTTTTTATCTCAAAAATATCCTTTCTTGAAAAGAAATTAATATTTTATGTCTCATCTCTATCTATATATATGTATAAGTTAAGAGTTTGATTAATATTAAAAATTTTCCTCTCTCTTATCTATCTATATCTATATATAGGTGAGATATATATATATATATATATATAGTAACATTCAAATACAGAAAAAGAAAGTTACCATGAATTTGAATAGTAAAATTCAAATTCATGTTACTACTTTTGTTGAGTATGTTACTGTTCATGTACTATTAATTTTGAGCATGTTACTGTTTTTGTTGACCATGTTACTACTATTATTTTCCTAAATATTAATATTCAATGTTATTATTATTTGTTTTGAATATTACTATTTTTTGGGTTTAAATTTGAGAGAAATAATTATTATTAAGTATGTTACAGTTTTTGTCAAACATATTACTATTTTTGTTGAATATGTTAATATTTTTGTTGAACATGTTACTGTTGTTATTTTTAAAAAATATTAATATTGAATGTTTCAATTTTTTTTATGTTTAAATGTTATTATTTTTTGTGTTTAAATGTATTATTTTTTGTGTCCAAATGATAATTTTTTTTTTGTATTTGAATGTTACTATTTTTTATTTTTAATATTATTATATATAGTAACATTCAAATACATGGATATATAACCTATATATAGATAGATAAGAGAGAAAAATTTTAATGTTAATCAAACTCTTAACCTATATATGAATATAGATAGATATGAGAGAGAAAAGATTTTAATGTTAGTTAAACTCCTAAGATTTATGAGTTTTTAAATTTTAGTTTTATTTTACTTCTAAAGAGAAGGATAGTATAGTAAAATTGACAAAAAATGGATTTCATAACAAATAAATTTCTTTGACGGACTTAAATCCAAACAAGTCTATATAGGAGGACTGACCTCCAAATTTCCCATCTATTTATGAATCCATTAAAAATCAAAAATCCAATTCAAATAATTTAATTAGAGATGTATTTGGACAAAGTGAGAAATTCAAAACTAGGTTCCCTAGTTTGGGTAAATATAAAATTCAAAGCAAATCACATTAGAAAATATAATAATTTAACGGGATTGATTTCAGGTTTGGGAGTTTAGGATTGAATTTTCGATCCAAATATCAAATTTGGGGTCCTTTTAAACTATTTTCTCCAAACTCATATTCCCAAGCCCCCATAACCCCTAACCAAACAACCGTTATGTGGGGATGGTTTTCACGGTGTGTGGAAAACTACTATTTTAGGATTTAACCACGGTACATCAAAAAAATTTTGGTACCATATCTTTAAAATTTATTATTTTAAAAGATATTTTTATAATTTTTGTGGGTCATTTTACAACAAAAATTACTACTTTTGTGAATTTTTTACCACTGTTACGAGTGTTTTTGTCACATTTGTGGTAACTATTTTTACCACTTTTCATAAGTACAAAACAAATTATTATATTTGTGGCTACTTTTAACATATTTGTGAGTTTTTTTTTGATCATTTTTGTGGGTGTTTTTATCACAGTTATGCTATTATTTTTTATCACTTTTTTGGGTATAATAAAATTATCCACAAATATAATAAATTTTGGTAAAAAATCGATACCATAGTCAAATTCACTATTTTAATTTAATTTGATATTAAGGTTGACCTAGTGGTCACTATCTTCGTTGGGCCGCTGGACTTGTTGTACTCTTGTTTTTGGATGACACCGACTTGAATCTACTATCTAATATTTGTAATAATAAAATAATTCAATAATTTATATTAAATTAAATCTTTTATTACGTCGTCAAATTAACTCTATTGCTCGTGTGGTTGTTGGCCACCTAAGAATCATGCATTTCGTGATAGAGTTTTGCATATGTAGATGAGATCATGAACCGCACGTGCCTATCCACAGAAGGGAGTCGGTGTGTGGCGTATCCTAACATTAGCAACGACTGAGTTTAATTATTCAATTACAAAATTGAACAAAAAACAAATTAATTCATCAACTTTTTTTTATCAATTAATTAATGTAGCTAAATTATAATAATTGAATACAGGGCGGCTCAAGTCAATTTGAGGCCTAAAGTAGAAATATTAAATGGAGGTTTTTTGGATTTTTAGTGTAATTTTTTAAAAAAATTAATTTATTTTTAATTTTCTGTGCAAGAGAAAAACAAAAGAAGGATGCGTTAATATTGTCGAGAAAGAGATTTCAACTTTTGTTTTTATTTTTTACCACAGAGAGGGATAGAGAGTGTTTAATTTCAAATTTTATTTTTGGCTTTTAATTTTTTACCAGAGAGAGAGAGACTGTGTGGTGGGACTAAATATGAATTAACTTTTGAGGTTTTTTTATTTATTTTTTAATTTTTGAGTTTTTAATGTCATGAATTGAATTGTAGGCCAAATTATTACAATAAAAATTGGGATTTAGGAAGGCCGGTACGTACCAAAAAACTTAATATGATAAAAATACACTTTTTTAAATAATTGGGATATAAGTACATATGCTAAAAAAAAGTCATAAAAGTCCTTTTATCCCTACATACTTAATTGAATGTGAGATTTTCAAGATTAGAATGTGAGATTTTCAAGATTTCTTTTGATATTTGTATATCATTTGAATTTTGAAATTTCATATATATATGGTAGGAGTAATTATGGAATACATTTTAAAAATTTTTAAAAATGTTTAAAAATGTGTACTTATTGACAATTATTTGATGAAAAAGAGGACGTAAAGGAGAATAAATTTAAAGATAGTATTTAAAGCCAAATAAATTTTGAAAAATGTACTCACATTCCATTATCTCATAAAAATTTTAATCGGATTTAATTTTTGGGGGCTTTTTTTGTAGGGATAAAAATTTAATGAATTTTTTTTTTTTTTTTTGTGAACTAGTGATGTACCTAAAATTATGGGGCCTTTTAAAAATTTAGGCCCTAAGCCTATGTTTTTTCCATACTATCGGGCCAACCTTTATTGGATATTAGGGGGGCCAATAAAACTCACCAATCCAATAGTTTACCTGAATTTTTCGACGGTAGTGATATTAATTGTGATTTCATTCATAAGGAACTTGTTCATTTTTTTTCTATTTCATATGTGCAAGGATCAAAATTAACGGTTACCTTAATGACTACTATTTTTGTTATTAAATTTTAAAGACATGAATTCGAACCTTATCATCCCTTACCTATAAGAGTGCATCAAATTGTGTGAACATCCATGTAGTCCTTGATTTATGTTATAATAGTGCATCAACGTAAAAAAAATGTGTAAAAATCTACATAGTACTCGATTTATGTGTTATTGAAGAGAAAACTCTCTTACTATCTTCAATTATTCTTGGGATGGAAGGAAATAGGTCTTAGCTTCATATTAATTAATTTATTTGTGGTTTACATGACTCGTGTTGATAAAACAGTTATAAAAGCTATGACGATCATTCAAAAAAGTGTTTTTAGATCAACTCCTACAATTTCGAGATATTTTACTTCTTTTCAACCATTTTTGCTTAGCATAAATCGCGCCAATGATTCCTGAGATTTATCATTAGTCCTACTTTGATCTTCAAAGTTTTAATTTTATCAATTTCATCCTCAAAAGTTTACATATTCGACCAATATAGTTGTTGACATTAACTGCCGTCAAAAAACAGATGAAAAATCTCATGTGCAAAAGATGTATAGCCACATATCTTCTTCAACCTCAAGGAGACACCGAAGTACGAGGAATGAAAGAAATTCAAACGTATGCACGAAAACAACTCATGAAATAACTACTTCGTTATCAAGGTACAAACTCAAACAATAATCTGCCGCCTGAATCTGTCTTAGAAAGACCATATGCTTATGAAACATAGTAATTTATTAAAGAGAAAGTAACTATTATTGCAGAGAAAACATAGGCACTCTTGATTTTACAATTTCCAGTGACAGATATTCCACATGATCTGAATAGAATCAATAGACAACAGAGAATTATCACAAACATAATAAGTCCCAATACATAACCCAAGTTTCTCTACGAGGTAGCGGCAGTTTAGAACAGAAAGTAGGATGAACCAACGATAGAAGTGTGATTTTCACCCAGGTTGCGCCCTCGAAGGCACTCCAGATCCATCACTTGAGAATGATCCACAAAGAGGTTCACCTGCAAAATCCAGATCAATGACAAGGATTTTACCAACATTTGACAGGAAAAACATATGACAGCATCAACTTAAGAAGTTGAAAGAAAGATAAAAAATACCCTTGGACCGTATTGTTTAATAAACCACTCAGAAGTCTTGGGATTTGATGCTTCAAACATGGTCTTCTCGAGTCCGAGACGCCCTATGACCTTTGCAATTATGTCTGCTCTTACAGAATCAGCATATCGGCAGATATCATCAGCATCGATCATTATCATGTCTGCCCCAGCTTCTAGGCATCTCTCAGCTCTTCTTATTAAAAGATCCACATCCTCAACAAATTCTACACAGAAACGGAAACACCGTCTTGTATGACCATGTAAGTAAATTCTATCTGTATTCCTATAATGGCAATAAAACACAGGCGAAATGGTTCTAAGGTCCAAGCCTTCAAAATTTGGATGCATTAGGATGCTAATTCATTCACAATTTTTGAAAATTAAAAGCATATATTAGTCATCCCCATTACAAGTTGACCAATTGTGAAGAAAGCTCTCTCTCTCTCTCTCACACACACACACACAAACACAAACGAAGAGACAAATGACACTCCTCCCTCAAACATCCATTAGGCATCAACTTTACTTTTCTCCAAAATGTTGCGTATCTCCTTCCATAAGAATCGACAGTCTGCATGTCTACAACTATTGTCTATTCAAATAATAAATTGACATTGTCTATTCAACAATGATGCTAACTTTTTAGCTACTATCTATGCTAAAACACATGCCCATTCAAAAGCATGCATAGTGAACAACCTAATCAGCTTACTACACAATCTATAAAATTAGAATCTTTTTAGCATGTAACTTTTACTTCTACGATACTAGTACAACATTTCATGAACATATTAACTAAAGCAAGTCACAGAAGCAAGGATGAGTAATCATGCTATCTTATGATCAATATGTTCCAACTTCACCATTCTGTGGGATATTATCTGGCAAAGATTTTGTAAACTAGAGATAATACATATGTGCTTTTCAAACATGAACAACAAAAGGAAATTGCTTGCCTACCAAATTTTCGAGGTGGTGGGACTACATAAGCCCCAAATGCTCTGTCACCACTCATGGGTATATCAGACTTGTTAAACATTACCGCAAATTGAGGCTTGACCTTTAGACCACCACTCTTAATCAACCTCACATATCTCAAAAGAGTTTCTTCAGGAAGTCCAAGCGATCCCACATCAAGCTCGATTGTATCAAACCCCAGTTGCTTACATTCCTGAAATCATGCGACATGTAACAATATTAATGTGAAGGTTTAGACGTAGAATTGATGAGAAAGAAAATGACCTATATCACACACCTCTATGTACTCTTTGAAAGCAGATGGACCCTTGCGATGCAAATGTTCAGCCCAATCACCAGTACTGACATACACATTATGTTTGTGAGCCATGTCAGTCACTTCTTTGATGAAAGTTTTTGGCATCAAACTATGAGAACCTCCAGTAAACTTCAGGCCATCAACAAACTGCCCCATAGACTCAAAAATATCCTGCAAAACATATTAAAGTGGATAACATGAATCTTGTTCCAAAAATTCTCGTGTTCAAAACCAATATCTCTTGCATAGAATGTTGCATTATCAGGTAAGTAGCTCACGAATAAAAGGACAACAGTGAGAATCACATAGGTAGGTACATATAATAATAGGGATGTAAAACAGATTTGGATAAAGAGTTAATATTAGATTCTCTTCTTCAACAACTATAAACGTTTATTTGGGGACATCTATAAAAATTGAAGGATTTCAAAAACATCAGCATGGCCCCTACCCAAGGAAGACACTCACAAATCAAGAAATAGTTCAATGACTATAAATGCAGCTCACTTTTAAGTGTTCACATAATGGTAAACACATTTAAATATTTCCATATTTCTTGCTCCAAGATCCAATTAGATTGACAATGCACTCAATATTGTGTTTTGCAGCAACACAAAAAAAATATATATATATTATACAAAAGAATTCATTAATGAATGTAAGTTTTATTCTTCCGTCTTCCTTGACATATTTATTGGGGATGTATCAAACACATATCTCATACCTATAGATACCTGATGTTTCGAGTCCAACTTAGTTACTTCAAATTGTTTGTCTATACCATCATTACTTTAACATATTAAAATGCACTGGCAAAGAAGTTCTAAATTTTATTACCACAAAATAAGGGAAAATTATGGAGTCGCCGGGTGAGACAGTCGATTCATGAACCGGAGACCTATCTCCACAGCAAGCTTCTAAAATTGACCCAGTCCGTCATGCTTTGGCCATCGCTACCGGGATCTCAAAGTAAATAGAGTGCAACACAGACAGAGTACAGCACAGTATTCCAATCTGATTGAAGAGAAATTTGAAATCAAATTGCTCCATTGTATACAACAGAAAGCAGTTGTCTGAGCATTTACCCTCACAAATGACATGACAGAACACATGAATTCCGGACTAGTTTGAATTCTTACCCCAAAAACACAAGTGAGCAGCTCAGTTCTTACGGGATGTTTAGCATTGCTCTTATCAAATGGCAATTTAGACGCCAAAATATGTTTAACTACCAAATAGACTTGTTTTTTTCTGTTTTCTCTATTTCTTTCGATCATAAAATTAGCTTCGTTTTGCAATCACTCTGTTCAATTCACAAAATATTCGTGAATTCGAGCCACAAATAGCTGCAATTATTCTGTACAACACGCAATTGAAGTTTCACGACAGGCATTTCAAAGAATCCAAGAGCAAAACAAATGGCCAAAATGCAAAATATGAGAGAGAGTACCTGAAGGAGGTTTTGTGACAAAAGGGTGTAATGGGGACCCCTCATTTCTGTGACGCCATACCTCCGAGGCTTCTCCGGGCGATCTTCGTTCTCGTAGAAGCTCTTCCATCCAAACAATGACATCTTCTTCCACCCTTAGCCCTCTCACGCGCCAGGAATCACCACAAGATTCAATGTCACAGAGAGTGAGAGAGAGAGAGAGAGAGAGAGAGGCAATCTGTTTCCCTTTGATCAGAATGTGTATATATGTTTTATCAATGTGAAACAATAGAGTGGATTCTTCTTCAGCTGAAGAAGGTTTGAGTTGTTTCTGGAAATTGATTCAGACGTTGTCCTCATTTTCATTCGATTGATCCAGGACACGTGTCCATTATTCGACCGAGTTGGAACAAGCCTTTCTTTCTTGGGCTAATCTCATACCCCCAAAATATTTTAATTCTTAATTTATACCTCCAAATATTAAAATTTTAAATTTAAATTTGCATTATGAATTAATCGAAATGTAGACCTAACTACTGATTGCCATTCAGTTTTCTGCGACTTTCATATTTTTCATTCATTCAATCTATTAAAATTTAGCCGATTTGAAACTTTCTTTTTTTTTTGGAATTCCAGCTATCCCAACCCTTCGGGTTGGACTAATGCTAGACTCACGCACAAAGCTGGCTCTCCACGCATAAGGGGTAAATCTAAGACCAGTGGTCTCAATGAGCGTTTGCACCTAGTAAGTTTCGAACCCTTGATCAGTACCAAGTGAAGGTACTTATCAAGTGACCCTTGAACTACTAGGCTAAACCCTCAGGGTTAATCAAGTGTAAACTTGAAGGAAGAAAATTATTTAAATTAAAATCAGACAAAGTTTATTGTGATTTGATGCAAATTCAAATGGAATTTTTTGTAATGGGGTGAGTTCACTATACATGATGGCTCAAGCCCAAGAAGAACCTAATTTATTTGGAAAATTCAAACCTCAATTGAAGAACTCAGTCTTATAAAGACCCACTAAGCCCAATATTGTCCAAGTTCAGTCGTATCAGTTCGCCTACGTCATCAAGAAAGAGAGAGAGAGAGAGAGAGAGCACAGGAATCTTACCTGCACCGCCAAGGAAACAGTCTACCCTCACCTTATCCTTGACCGCATCTCATGGAGAGCATCTCAACCACCTCGCCCGTTGAGAAGAAGTCGTGAGCTCCACCGAAATATTTGCTTAGTTGTTGTAAAATAGTCCTAACCTGTTAGGGGGCCACTATAAATTGCACGCCCCACCAACACTTGGGGGGCATCACACTTTACCTGAGCACAACTCTTTTCTATCCCTTAAAGCTTGTACTCTCTGCTCCCCACACTTTTGAGTTAATAAAATACCTGGCAACCAGAGTCACTGAAGAGTGGACGTAAGTCGAGCTGACCGAACCACTATAAATTGTTTGTGTCTCTCCATTTCTTGATATTATTTTCTTGCATTTATTATTCACATTTGACAGGTGGTGTGCAAAACCATTTTGTGCATCATCAGTTTGGCGCCGTCTGTGGGAAAGATAAAATTCTCACTCTTAAACATTACATTTGTTGAACCAATGACAATCACTACCAGATCCATGAACCAACACGAAAACAATCCACCACGAGAGGAAGAGGTTTCTCCTCCACCTACCAACCCTGTCCCAAATGCTCCAGCTCTAAATTCACAGCAAATGCTGGAGACCGTGCAGCAGTTGGTGACCCAAAACCAGCAGATACTGCAACTCATGCTCGCTGGATGAGGAGGAGCACAACTTGGAGGTACACAGCATGGAAGACTCTAAGGAGCTCCACGCCCTGGACATCAAGGAGCTCCACACCCTACTGCACCACACCTGGGCACTCCTATAGGGCTGGGCGCCCCCCTTGGAGTCCCCTTGGGTGCCCCACACCGGGGAGCCCATCATGAGGGAGTTCTACCTCATCCTCCTCCTCCTGCGGTTTCCCATGGTAAAGACCCTCATCTTCAAGAAGATGAGGGCGAGAACCAAAGCATGGAGCACGGGAGTTATTTCCATGATCACTCCAGGGGACCCCCCAATCATTGGGATGAGAAGATCAATGAAATGCAAAATTAATTGGGTGACGTCTTCAATGCCATGAAGGTGCAGGGACCTGAGACAGTAGACTACCTAGTAAGGTGTACGGACACGCCCTTCAAACCTGACGTGGCGAACTATTCTCTCCCTCAAAAGTTCAAAATGACATCCGTGGAGACCTTTGACAGAACAAAAGATCCACTAGACCACCTCGACATCTACAAGACTCTGATGCAGCTGCACAATGTCCCAAACGAAATCATGTGCAGGGCGTTCCTAACCACATTGAAGGGGTCCGCAAGACAATGGTTCACTAAGCTCCCGCATCCCTCATCGACTCCTTTGCTAAGCTGAGCAGGTCATTCGTATCGCATTTCATTGGGGGACGTCGCCACCAGAAGTCTATCACCCATCTACTTAGCATAAAGCAGGTCCCGGAGGAGAGCCTGAGAAGCTACCTCACTCGTTTTAATGAGGAGGTACTCCAAGTTGATGAGCCTAACGACAAAGTAACGATGACCGCCTTCTTGGGAAGCCTTCGCTCGTCAAGTTTCCTCTTCTCAGTGATGAAGCGCCCACCAAAGAACATGCCAGAACTGTTAGCAAAGGCCCATAAATACATGAATGTTGAGGACATTACAAGGGCCAGGCGAGGTGAGTCCTCCAGAGCAGTAGGGGAAAAGAGGAAGGACAAGGAGAGAGAAGACAAGAAGGAGACTAGCAACAAATGCGACAGAATAGAGAGGGTTCCCGTCAAAGACTGGCTAGGTCCTACTCCTCAGAGGGACTGACAAGCCTTCACTCCCCTCAATGCCGCTGTCGGCCACATCCTCTTCCAGATCCAGGATGACCTCGCCATAAAGTGGACAGGGGAAGATGAAATCTCCTCCAAATCGCAAAAATCCTAACAAGTACTTTCGTTTACACTGCGACCATGGGCATGACACCAATGATTGCTATGACCTCAAAAGACAAATTGAGGAACTCATCCACCATGGCCACCTACGTCAGTATGTTGCTGGCAGTGAACGAGCACCACCACCTCACAATCAAGAAGACTAGTAACCCGTGAGGGAGATCCAGACCATCTCGGGAGGACTCGCAGGAGGTGGAGAATCACTTTATGCAATGAAGTCCCACGCTAGAAAGGCAAGACACCTCGACGAGATGCACCTATCCAAAGTGACAATACAGGGCGACAATGAGGTCATATCTTTCTCAGATAAGGACCTAGAGGGAATCCAGCACCCCCATGATGACCCCCCTGGTGCTCACCATGACCGTGACCAATTTTCAGGTGCGCAAGACCCTAGTAGATAGTGGCAGCTCTGCAGATATCCCATTCACAAGGGCTTATGACAAGCTCAACCTGGGCAGAGAGAGACTGCAACTTATCAGATCACCCCTTATTGGGTTCTTAGGGGAAAAGGTATATCCCCTAGGGTCCATCACCCTACCTGTCACAGTCGGAGTATTGCCCCGAAGCTCTACAGTCATGGTCAATTCTTGGTCATAGACTGCCCATCAGCCTATAATATCATATTTAGACGACCTGCTCTTAACACATTAAGAGTTGTGCCTTCCACTTATCACCTTATCCTTTGTTTTCCAACCACAAATGGAGTTGGAGAGGTCAGAGGAGACCAAATAGCAGCGAGGGAGTGCTACGTCTCCTCCAGGAAGCCACAGGAGACGTTGCAAGTGGAGGTCCTTGATCCGAGGGATAACGCCACCATAAAGATAGAAGAACCAGTCGAGGAGCTCACCCCTATGGCCTTGGATGAGGAACATCCAGACAGAAGAGTATACATTGGCTCTTCCCTTTCTGAAGACCTGGTTGGCCTGCTAATAGTCTTTTTGAGACGTAACATGGACATCTTTGCGTGGTCACATGCAGAACTTGAGGGAATTGACCCAGAAGTGACCACACACCATCTCAATGTAGACCCACACCACAAGCCTGTTCGCCAAAAGCTAAGGGGTGCCTCCACTGAAAGGGCCCAAGCTATGGACAAGGAGGTGGGAAAGCTAATAGATAACGGGGTCGTCAGGGAAGTAGCGTATCCTGAGTGTCTCTCCAATGTGGTGATGGTCACTAAAACTAATGAAAAGTGGCGTCTTTGCATCGACTTCACAGAACTCAACAAGGCATGCTCAAAAGACAACTACCCACTTCCACGGATTGACTTCCTCATTGACGCCACCGCAGGGCATGAGTTGCTCACTTTCCTGGATGTTTACTCTGGGTACAACCAGATTAGCATATACCCCCCAAACCTGGAGAAAATATCATTCATCACTCCGAAGGGAACCTATTGCTACAGGATCATGCCCTTCGAACTAAAGAATGTAGGAGCAACCTAATAACGGTTGGTGAACAAGATGTTCCAATCTCAGATCAAACGAACAATGGAGGTGTATGTGGATGACATGTTGGTGAAAAGTCTCACAGCAGTAGACCACATTGATCACCTCCAAGAAACTTTCAATGTCCTAAGGTCCTATCATATGAAGCTCAATCTTGAGAAGTGCGCCTTCGGCGTAGGGTCTGGAAAATTCTTGGGCTTTATGGTCAATCAAAGGGGAATTGAGGCGAACCCCGATAAAATCAAGGCTATCCTCGACATGCAGTCACCTTCCTCGACCAAGGTTCGTTTCCAAATTCGTAAACAAATGTCTGCCCTTCTTCAAGATTCTCCGGAAGGCCTTTAAGTGGGAACCTGAGATGCAGGAGGCCTTCCAAAGGCTCAAAGTCTACCTAGCCACACCTCCCCTCTTATCGCATGCCACTCCGGGAGAAACTCTCAATCTTTATCTTTCTGCTTCCTCATCAGCAGTAAGCTCAGTGCTCATCAGAAATGATAGTGGAATGCATAAGCCAATTTATTATGTGAGTAGGGCATACCGGGGGCAGAGATCAGATATTGGGGACTAGAAAAATTGGTGCTCGCCTTGATCACAACTGCAAGACGACTACGACACTACTTTCAGAATCACAGCATAGTAGTCATCACAGACCAACCTCTTAAAAGAATCTTAGGAAAGTCAAACGTATCCGACAGACTTCTTAAATGGGCAGTGGAACTCGGGGAGTTCTACATTCAGTACCAATCAAGGGCAGCCATCAAAGTACAAGCCCTGACAGACTTCATTGTCGAGCTCACACTAGCTGAAGAAGGAAGTTGCAGGGATGCCTAGATATCTGACACTCAAGCAATCCCTTCAGGC